CCAGAATAGGACACAGCACTCTACATGAGGACTCACCAGAGCTGAGTAAAGGGGCAGGATCACCTTCCTTGACCTCCTGGAATGTTCTTCCTAATGTACCCCAGGACACCACTGGCGTCTTGGCCACAAGGACACTGCTGGCTCATGGACAGCTTGGTGTTCACCACAACCCCTATGTCCTTCTTCACAGAGCTGCTCTCCAGCAGGTCAGCCCCAGCCTGAACTGGTGCCTGGGGTTTTTCCCTCCCCAGGTGTGGGATCCTGCAGTTGCCTTTGTTGAATTTCAGCTGGTTCCTCTCTGCCCATCTCTCCAACCTGACAAGGTCCCTCTGAAGGGCTGCACAGCACTCTGGGGTATCGGCCACTCCTGCCGTGTCATCAGTCAACTTACTGAGCAGGATCTGCCCCTTCATTCAAGTAATTCTGAATGAATGAATATGTTAAATAATACTGGGCCCAGTGACAGGCCTCCAACTAGACCCTGTGCCACTGATTCCAACCCTCTGGGATCTGCCATTCTTCCTCATAGAGCCAGCCCTCTCTCCACCTCACTGTCCACCCATCTAACCAACTCTCCTTGAGTTTGCCTGTAAGGATGTTATGTGAGACAGTGTCAAAAGCTTTGTCCAAATCAAGGATAATAATTTAAATATTTTCGTTGGTAAGTACTCTGTTTGAGATCTTAGTTTAGTTAATTTTAATAATAAATGCATAAGTCTCATAATTAAAAGTATTACAATGGAAACAAAACAGCTGTATTGTGTAATAATCATAGTTATCATATATTATAGAAGTGATGTTCTAAGAAGGTGATTCTTGCTTGATTCCTAAATAACGTGCCTGTTCTAAGCTGATGTTGAACCTGCTTACTGTGTTTGCTGAATCATTACTGACTTTTTGCTACAGTCCTTTGTGCTACAGAGGTGATTGCAAAAGTGCCAGCAGCATTCCCTGAACAGCATGCCACAGCTATCCATTCACACTCTGGTCAAGAGAAAATGTAGCCATCACCTAAATGATTCTTCTGATTCTTTAATCTGCCTGGAAAAAGAATACAAAATGTTCACGGACCACTTTAAGAAACTCCCAGCTATTGTTTGCAGATGGAAAAACATAGACCAAAACAGTCATATTAAAGGAAGCCATGACAAAACTGCAAGTGTGGCCAGAGCACCAGATGATATAGTTACAACAATTTTCTTTGAAGATCCGTTTTGAAGCCACACAAAAAGGCTGAGACAATGGCTCAGGTGGAAATCTGAGCCCACTTTTATCAGTTGAATTCCTAAACCCAAACTCGTGCAAGTTCCAATTCGGTGACACCATGTAATGAGAGAAATGTCATTGTGCTTGTGCCTGATGTGCCAGACAATCACCGTGAAGTGGGATCCCATGTCCTGGCAGGCAGGGAGGAATTCAACTTGGGTTAGCATCCAATTTGAATTTCAGTGGGATTGCCCTTCCCTTCAAAAAGGCCTAGTGTGCTAATGCTCTGTGGTTAATCCTAAAATGCTGTGTAAAATACCTGCAAGAAAAAGAAATTCTGTAGATATATTTTGAAACTTATTTCATCTCTGCATATCCTATGGAACAGTGAGATTTTATTGATATATTTCTTACAGCTTTTGTAGAATCACAAATAGAAAAAAACACCCAAAAAGCAAATAGAAAACTAAAGAAAATAAATAATAAATTGAGATACACCTAGAAGAAAATGCTAAGAATATTCTGCAGTCCAATTTCATAGGTAACTTGCTAGAAGTAAATGGCTTAGCTGGAATTGTTAAAAGGGAAGCAACAACCAGAAATACAAAAAGCAACTAAAATAATCCAGTAAAACAATTCAGTAGTTTTTAGGATGTGGGGATTTGCTTTCTAAACATGCCTTACCTAAAACAAACAGGCAAAATTAGTTATTATTTATTGCAGTTTTGTACAGAGATTGACAGATTTGGAATGAATGAATAATTATGTGGTGCTTCCAGGTTATAAAGTGGAATCAGTGTTGACATCTGCATGCCTATTAATATTTCTTTACGTGCAATTACCTGTAAATTTAACACTAACTGCTTTCGGCAAGCAGCAATATTTCAAGACATCTTCAGACAAAAAATATTCAGTCTTTTTATCTACATTTGATTGTCAGAATCTGTTTATAAATCTACTAGGCATGTTTATGGCTTTCTTTAGTTTTGCCTGCAGCACCAAACAATATTACTAACTGCTTTATATGTGTATGCTTTTCAATTTATGTGGGATGTGGCAGCAACCAATAGGCATAAGCTTCCCCAATCTTGAGTGACAGGTAAGATGGAAAATTTATGTCATGATCCATACTATTATGTGTGGTACAATAATGATTATTTAGTGATGGGGAGGTCTAACAAAGTTTTTGACAGGTCTCTGATTTATTAAAGCATATGTAATTCTCATGCCAGGTTACAGCTCTCTAAACAGATACTGAGATTGGTCAAGTGTTACACAGCTGGCTGAAACTGTGTGTTGAAACTCACTGCTAAAAGATAAAGAATGGTGAAATCCCAAGGGAAGGTAAAACACTTACTTTAAAGATTATGTTTTAAGGGTAAACATAAGCTGAAACAGCTGGAAAGGAAACCCATGGCATGATTTGGGCTATGCCTGAATTTGTCTAGGAGCTCTGTTCTCTTCCTAATTCCAGTCCCCATTTCCCTTGCGCTGGTGCTGGGGAAGAGGATGGGAAAATTTGTCAACCTTTTATGCAGTATCTGCACAAGGGGAAATTCTCCCTTAGTTAACAAAGGTCTCTTGCAATCATTTACAGAATCTGAGCTGGGCTTTCTAGGGCTTATTCCTTTGGGAACTGCATCTCCGGCATGCTCCTTTAAACAGCAGAAGGTGGAAAAGGATTTAGTAAAAAACCATTGTGGAAACTTCTTAGTAGTAAAAAGTACTGCTTTTGGCAGTGGGGATAATATTTCCAGATATTATTGTGTTACTCATTATATATTTGAACTAGAAGGAAGTTTTTAATAAAAAACTCATAAGGTGTAGATTATAATCTTTGGATAATATAACACTTGGAGGATAAAGCAAAGACAGTTGAAATATCCAGGCCACTCCTGTGGATATTTGCCTAATATTATTTTGGCTAACATCTCTGTTTGGGGCTGACACACTGAAGATTAATCTGTCCTTGATTTTCATTTTCTGGCAAGGATGAGAGAAAGAGTATATTTTTAGATTTAAAACTACACACAATATGATGGGTCAAGGACAAAATTCTCTTTCTTGCCTAGTTATTGAAATAGCCCAAAACACCAAAGCATACAGATGCTCTTGTGCTCTTGTTAGCCTTGATGCAATGGAAAGAATACTGTACTGGAAAGAAGCTGTGAATCTGAGAATTCAAAGTTTCTTTTAGTGACAACTGTATGTCACAAATTTACCAAAGCATCATGTTTTGGACTGCCACAACACAGAAAGAACTATCCATTATTGAATGAAAGGATAAGACCCACCACTAGATCTTTTCCCACAAGTTATAAAGTAATCAGTCTCTGCATGGGCAGACATATCATATTTATAACTGGAAATGTTTTTTCAGTAATATTTCATACATGATTTATTGAAATGAAGCTAAAATAACTAGTACAGGGTGGCTGCAGGCTGTGGCTACCCGATGGTTGTAGGCATTCACAGTGCCATCATGAAAGCCGGTTAAGTGCAGAGCTGTGCAAGATGCCAGTAGCATAAATAGAAATTACTGTATTCTGCTCCTACAGGTAGTGCACGAGGCAGCATATTCTCTAATGAGATACTATGTGCTGTAACAGAAGAAAATAGAGACTGAGGTTTGAATTTCTTATTTCCAGTTGTGTGATTTTTTGCAGGGAATATCATAAGTGAAGCAGTTTCATTCAGGCATTCCAAAAATCTGGGTGGGGCAACTCTGACAGGACACAGAGCTATACTTGGTGAAGATATTAATCTCACAATTTAGTCAATACAGTTTTTGCCCCCACCACTAATTCCATTACTGAATTTTGTGCCACAGTGTCTACACTGATGCCCTGTTAATGCAAATTCTTCTTTCTGTCTAGCCAGCTGGCAGGCAGGCAGCACAGGCAGCCTCCGTTTTCTGCTGCAGTTAGTACAGCAAGCCTAGTCCTGCGGTGCTGAAACCGAGAATATCTCCCCCTTAAAGCAAGAAATTCATTCTTTTATTCATACCACATTTTCATTATTAAGAAAAAACTATGATTCATAAAGTATTACCCTATGGCAATACGCAGACTTTAATATTAATGCCATTTTATTATTAAAAAAAATCCTCTAAACCAGAAAAGATTAAACTCAAGCATGAATAAATACCAGTATCTTCCTGGAAGCTACATCTGTGCCCTTCATCTCCCATCTTTTGACATCCTGTGAACATCTCCAGAAAGTTACAGAACATTTTCTCTTGAGCAAAAAGCCCCTCATAGATATGAATGTGTTCAGTAGTCTTTGAGAAATGTCTAGAGGTCTTGTAATTTCTCACTCTCACAGCTCCAAGCTGGCTGTATTCCACAACCAGATTTTACACAAAAATGAGACAGTCGCTCAATAATTGTTACTCAGTCCCTTTGCCTCAGAAAACATCCCTTCCGTGAGATTCTGCTAGTTCTGCTGACTGATAAGAAAATGTGAATTCAAATTAGTCCTGCTTACAAAAACTATGACTGACAACACTGTGCAATTTGAGAACTGCAAGCCTTAGGTTATTCCTAGGTTCTTTTGAATCAGCATGAAACGTGCTTCTGTGCTGAGACGTCCAGCCCTGTAATTTTAAGCTTCCATTTTATTCTTGGCAATCTTATCTCTGAAAGGCAGGATAACTGCAGTAATTGCACATCTCATTTCAGAAAAATAAAGAAACATTCATTTTCCATTTTAATAGTTTACTGGAAACTGGTTCACAAGGAATGAAGAGACTGATAATGAATGAAAATGAAAAACAGCAAGACCCAATTACTCACCCGTGCAAGGCTGGTTCCAGAAGGGACTTTATAGGGGACGTACTTTCTGTAGATATGTCCAACTCGAGAGCATGGAACATCATACATGCCACCTCCACACATCCACACCTGGAAAGCAGACAGAAAGCAAGTGAAAGAATGATTCTGGAAACAAATGAGGCAAAAAAAGCAGATTTTAGCTAATGTGTATGTGAAAAATACATATCATTCTGTGCTGACCTCTCCCATTGTCATGGTGGCCTTCTTGGCATGCTGGTAACTGGGATATGGTAACATGGCAGACTCTCCCACCCAGAATCTAACTGTGCAAAAGCAGAGCATGGTCAAAAGAAAATTATAAAATATATAAAAATAGAATAGGAATAGGAATAGGAATAGGAATAGGAATAGAATAGAATAGAATAGAATAGAATAGAATAGAATAGAATAGAATAGAATAGAATAGTATAGTTTGGGTTGGAAGGGAGTTGAAGTTCAGCCACTTTCATAGTGCTTGCCTGTTTGTGTTATAGTGGGTATATCTGTCTAGTATGTGTGTGTGTATATATATATATACATATATATATATATATATGTAGTGAATATATCTACCTGAATTCAGCCCCTGACTGACTGCTATTCATACTGTGAATGGTGAAAATAGGGGTTAGAGTGAAGGCTTGAATTACAAAGTGATTTAGGTAGCTGCTTCTTATGGATCATTTGTGTGTCAGCCCTTACAGTCCCTTAGCAATTAGCCATGGCATCCAACTGAGACCTGATAATGAAATGTTCAAGCATCTAATCTCATTACAGAGCAAACCTAAGTACACTAATGTAAATGTCTAAGGAAGGCTGGAAACCAGTGAAAGTGGGGCTTTGTCCTTAAATTCCATGGATGCAATGTGCAGCTGGATAGAGTTGATAGAGCTAGTTGGGAAGCTGCTGCTTACTACCTGCCATCACAGAACTGACTAAGGCATAGGAGCTCTGGGTAGTTGCCTCTGGACATGACATCTACTCTCCCAGTAAGCACAGTCCTTCGTAGGGAGGAAGTTTACTAGTGGATTGGGAATGGAGACCCAAATGAATGCTCTGCCTCCATGCCAAAATAGCTTATTACCACCCAGAGCAAACTTGCATGAAGTCATGCCATGTGGACATGAGGATAATTTTCTTTAAAAAAAACATTTTGTAAAAGCTGCCTCTTAAATAAACCTTGAAATCCTCACCTGTTTCATCTCACGACAGCTAATTCACTGGAAAATGTGCATAAACATAGTAAATTATCACAAAAGCAAGAGTATTCAAATAAGGTTATTTACCTTTCTAACAATATTTCAGTATTTCCTTTGTATGTTACATCATTTGTACTTTTTTTAAGTGGGAATTTTCTCTCTGTGCCTGTCTTCAAACAACCCCATGCATCAATGAAAGCACAGACCTCTGTTTACTATTTGTTCTTGTTTTTTAAATGGAGTTGTCATTTCAAAGGCTATACAAATTATTACTGTGATTAATCATGGCTTCTTAGAATGGACAACATAGCAGTGTGACTCAAAGGTTAGCCCAGCAAAAATTTAAAGGACAAGAAAGCAGAAATTACATATATATACACATTCACACACATGTATGCGCCAGTATTATTTTAACTGAGGCAATGAGAGCTGCAGTAGATATATATTGCATTTCCTCTAAAGCAGTAGGATAACAGTTAAAAAAAAAAAAAAAGAAAAGAAACCCCAGTCAGATATGCTGAGGCAATAACAAGTGGGAGGAAATAGCACTGTGTTAGGCTTATATTTGATAGATATAAAACCTGAAAATGCTGTGCTGCACCTGAGGTATGCTGTGCAGGGTAATTGAAATGAATCTTGGACTGCCTTGAAGGACATTTAGCAGCTGTTCCTGTTTATCTTTCAGCTTCAGAATGGTATTAAAAGCATTTTTTATATTTTCCTGAGAAGATAAATTCTGGCAACTTTGTCTTTAAAATGTGCATTTTTATGTCACGTGCACTAAATACAAGAAATTGGAGAATGACTACTGTGTTAAGTATTACAGACCTCCAGTATACCATGAAAGAAACTCAGGTGGTTTGGGACATTTGGCAAAATTATATCAGAAGCAATGAAACTCTCAGGATCGTTAATGTCTCCTTCTTACAAAAGCAATGAATCTGGTCTGCAGCTGAGGTATAAAAAACAAAGAGAAACCAAAATAATGCAATTCCAGCTTGGAAAGATCAAAAGAGTAGTTTATATATCAACTAGAGGCTATCTCACAATTTATCTTTATATGGCTCCTTCCAACAGAATGTTGCAAAACACTTTATAGGGATGATAGAAAGCAAAAAGCAGGCATTAACACAAGCTTTAAAAGAAATTAAGCTGTGGTTATGTGGCTTTGTTCCTGACTGGAGTTTAGATGCCACAGATGTATTTTTTGGCTCTGTTCTACAGCTCCTGTGGGATTTTGGGTGAATCACTCTCTTTTCACATTACTTCTTTGTCTTTTAAATTGAATTCTGCCTTCTCTTGTGATTCTCCCATCTTATCTCTCTGGTTTATGAGTGATCCAGCCTGGAAACTACCTGGAAAATGTAAATACTGTGCATGCAAGACTGAGATTCCAATCCATATGCTACTCTGTAGTCATAATTACTGTAGTAAGAGACTCATGATTTTTGAGCAGTGGAGGATGTGTCGCTGGGGAATAGGAACATAAACATACAGCAAATTATGCAAAGGATTTAGAGGGTACTGAATGGACTTTGGATTAGGCTTCAAAACTAAATGAGAAATATACTGCTGCTGAGAGTCAGTAACAAGACAGACAACAGTGAGAGACATTGAAATGAAGGGAAAATACAAACTGTAAACTGGTGGAAGAGAAATATAAAGTATTTAATACAAAGGCGACAACTTGGCGCTCTTCATATTGTGCAAGAGGGATGACTACAAACAGGAGAAATGTATTACGATAGTGGGGCTGAAAAAGTTGTAGAAAATAACAATATAAAAATGTTATGGGATTTTTCAGTCACTCTTCTTGAAATATAAGCCAGAAGAATAGATTTGGCAGCTGTAGAAAAGGAGAAAGAACAATATTTTCCTGTGAACTTCTACACACAGTGAGAATGTTCCTCTAAATGAAAAAAAAAATTGAAAAATAGGATCACTGACTGCAAATCTACAGTCAATGGGTCTGCAAATTGCAAAACCATTTACTGGAGGTGAAGTGGGATTTCCTGTCAGGAAATATTAAAACTGTACCATGTAAACTGGGAACTGATGACTGTGGGTATTTCAGCAATATCTCCAGCACCTCTAAAATTCTGAAGAAACTGGCAATAATCCACATTTGTCAGTCCTTCATATAGATTATAACTGCACTACCAAGTGGTAATGCTCCTCCATTCCCTATCTCCTGCCAAGATTGACAGCTGTGGAGGGAATTAATAGTGATTATGATGATAATGAAAGGGATTAATGAACTTGGAGGTGTAGTTTGGAAAACAGGGATGAAGAGAATTTGAAAAATGTATTGGCATAGATAAGGATGAAACAACTGTAGATACAGATGACTACCTTCAAGAGGCTAGGGAATCACCATTAGCATTTTTGTTAAGGTATGATTTACAATGCCTGAGGAATGCCTAATGCAAAGGATTGCACTGGGTTTGCATGGCCAGGTTTTGGTAGCAGGGGGGCAATAGGGGAGGCTTCTGTGAGAAGCTGCCAGAAGCTTCCCTCAGGCTGAACAGGGCCAATGCCAGCTGGCTCCAGGACAGACACGCCCTGGTCCAAGGCCATCAGTGATGGTGGTAGCACCTCTGGGATAACAGATTTCAGAAGAGGGAAAAGTTACTGTGCACCTTTAGCTAGAGAGAGGAGTGACAGTATGGGAGAGCACCAGCTCTGCAGACATCAAGGTCAGGGAAGAAGGAGAGGGAGGAGGTGCCCCAAGTGCTGGAGCTGGAGTGATTCCCTTGCAGCCTGTGGTGAAAACCAGGCTAAGACAGCTGTGCCTCTGCAGCCCCTGAAAGGTTCATGGTGGAGCAGAGATCACAGAGGAACTGCTGCCCCTGGAGGACCTCATGCTGGAGCAGGGGAAGAGTGTGAGGAGTCCTCTCCCTGGGGAGGAAGGAACAGCAGAGACAACATATGATGAACTGACCATAGTCCCCATTTCCCATTCCCGAGAGTGAGGAGGAGGAGAAAATAGGGAGTGAAGTTGAGAAGAAGGGAAGGGTAGGGGAAGGTGTTTAAAATTTGGTTTTATTTCTCATTGCCCTACTCTGATTTGATTGGCAATAAAATATTTTTTCCCAGGTCAGGTAACCTTTGTCCATGATGGTAACTGGTGAGTGATCTCTCCCTCTCCTTGATCGGTGAGTCTTTTGCTATATTTCCTTTCCCTTACTCACATGAGGAGGAGGGTGTTAGAGCAGCTTTGCTGGGCACCTGGTAAACAGCCAAGGTCAACCACAAGGGTCTTCAGGAAACACAGGACATTAGTATGTTTTGCTACTGTGTTGTGCTGATTACTACATATACCGTCTTACAGATTTAAATTTAGGATTTCCCAAATAGTGGCCTTCCTTGTTATTGTGAAGAGATGCTATTAATCAGGTGAGCTCCAGTGCTTTGCCAGCTTTCACAAGTCTAGCACGCACCGAAGAGTACTGTCAGCAAGATGTCATACACCTTTTTAATGAAAAAAAAAATGGACCCTGAACTGCCAAAAATTAAAATCCTGAACACTTTTAAAAGTAAAATTTAATCTAAGGAACTATTTAATGAAGAGGTCATATTTAGAGACAGTTTGTGGCTTTGTCACCATCCAGAGTACTCCAAATAATTATTTGCCAAGCAAATCAAAGTAAGATGTGGCACCAACACACAGCACCTGTCTGACAACACTTCCACAGACCACAGATGTGGATGCTCTAAGAAAGAGTAAATGTCATCTCTAGATTCACTCAAGTGAAGCCAAGGAAGCTGAACCAGTCTGGTTGTTTGGCTTTTTCACTGACTTTCACTGACTTTGGAACAATTTGCAAGTCCACTGTCTCACCAAGTTTTCTCAACAGATCTGGTAAATTGAACTGTCTGGCCAACTTGTCCTCATTTAATAAGTTTTAAGATAACTGAATCTATAGCTATAGTAAAACCTGCTGAAGCAGAAACCTTTCCCAAACTGACTGTGGTGATTCTGACATAATAAACCTCAGCTCTTTCTGTTTGTCTCTCCCCACTCTGAGATTTTTTTCCAAGTTTTTGTTATTCCAAACCAAACAGCAATATTTTATTTTTTTTTTTACATTTCTTAAATTCTTCCAGTAGGAATTTACTCCTATTTGGCAGTCATTTCTATAGACTATTTTTTCCTTCTTTTAACACTAGTAAGAAAGGACAAGGACCCAAAGGTTATTATGTACTAATAAGATAGATCCAGAGATGTGACTGAAATGAGACACAGGGTGCCACAGCTGCCTCCAAAAAAAAAAAAAAATCTCTCTCACTTGAACAAAACATACTGGGACAATCTGGTATCTCAATTTCCAGTTGTGTTACCATGGTTTCTATACAAAGTCTGGGGAGAACAACAAGTATATTCTTTGCAATGATGAATAAAGGGAATATTTGAAATAGGTTAAAAAAAATCATGGGTGACCTGTCAGAGATCATTGTGACAGCTACAAGTAACTACTTATATTTGCCTCTGAAACAATCTAAATGGACACAAGGTAAATCAATATATTTTAAACATACAGTCTAGCTATTGAGTTTCCCCTGCCTTCCTGTTTTACTTTGCTGAGGTACAAAAATGATTTGGAGAAACACGAGAGTATGCCAGTTAATGCAAAACATTTTGCAGTTCTTGGAACTCCTGAAAAGACAGCCTGGAAAACCAGTGCTGGGTGACAGTGTACATTTCATTCAGCAGAAATGTTTTAATTGCAGCTGAAACTCAGCTGCAAGAGATCTGATATTAGTAATGGCTGACATGCTATATTTATTTAAAGAGCTTTACACTGACAGAGTTTGGAAGTAGGCTGGAAGGATCCTAGAGCTAAATTTGAATTGCAGTTTCAGTTCCAAGCTTTATCCAAATACATTTGACTCAAATAATCTAAGTCAGGAAAGTCTATCAAGCCCTTGTAAAACTTTGCATATAGAGACCACGAGGTAAAATTTTAATGTCTTTGGGTATACTGGAAAATAAACTCAGTTTTCAAAATTAGACATGTTAGTCCTCAGCAAACTAATAAAAATGCCTGTCTTACATGTAGAAAGTAAAAAGACTTTCAGCTCTACATGTAAATGCCAAGTAACTGATTTCAATACACGTGTCCACATACAGGATATGAAGGTATACTATAACATGTCTGGTTGTACACAACATGAGCACTTGAAAACTCCCCGTATGTCATTACAACAATTTAAATGCAATTTTAAAAAATCTGCTTTGTAACAGCTGGCCTGCAGACAACAGCTCATGGCAGCTGAGCTGCTCTAGTGATCCTGCTATTGAAAGGAGTCTTTCTTCCTATGGCTTTCTCTATTTCCACCCATTTTCTTGAGCTGACTCCAGGGGACCCTATCCCCAGAGATGATAAAACTTGTTGATCTGGACAGAAAAATTATTCCATTTTCTTTTTTGCTGGGTTAGTTCTCTGTTGGCTTGTTGAACTGAGCTCAACACTTGAGCACAAACACAGCACCTGAGCAAAGGTAAGTAGAGAAGACTTGATAAAAGGGAAAGGGTGGAATGTCATTCTTTGACAGTGGTCAGAGGGAGCTACACTCAGTGTGATTTTGTATGGCTTCTGGAGCATTTGCTTATGGCACTGTGGAAATTCCTAATGAAAAGAAGTATTGTATTAAATTAATTTTAGTTAAAAAAACCAGAAGCCCAGATGAATGAAAGCATCGTGATAACACCAGCAAGGAAATATTCTATAAAGTGGCTTGATGACTTACCTTAAAGGAGATTTCATACTGCTCTCCTCCCCATATTTCTAATCCTGGATCATAGCCTCCCAGCTCCCAAAACCATTTCCGGTTAACGGCAAATAGACCTCCAGCCATTACAGGAGACCTGAAGGATGAATAAAGCAACACAAACAATAATGAAGATGTTTGGCCCGTGTGTGTGTGTGTGTGTGTGCTCTCGGTGTGTTTGTAGGAATGTTTGTTTGAATTGTGAAGCTGTGAAAGGCATACATAAACATAGGTGATAGTAGCATAACCAAACAATATTTGCCTTTATTCATCCAAAGAGGGGCTCTAGATGAGAAACAGGCAATATGGTAGATCTAGAGAATGGTAGACAGTCATGCACAAACTCCTTTTTTAAAAAAAAATCCCAACAAAACCAAGCCGAAAAAAACCAATAGCCTCCCCAAAAGTTCTGTTTGTTGCTAAGTAACAGAGAAAGAAAGGGACTCTGGAAAACTGCCAAAGTATTTAATGAGTCTCAGTACTCCATGCGAAGTAATGTGCATTTGAAAGTGAGCAAAAGTTTTCAGTTAATTTCAGTCTCATATGTGCTGGCTAGAGAAAGGCAGAAAGGTGAAAGAGCATGGCTGAAGAGAAGCTGTTGGGAGTTAAACATCTGCTTTCCTAAGCACTTAGAATTCCTCAAATGTGTCTCACAGTGGTAATGTGACTTATAGGCAAATAATTTGCTATGCTTCCCATGTTTCCATTTATTCCATTAATAAATATGTGACATTTTCTTAAATTAACTCAGTCTTTTTCACAGACAATATAGAAAACAAATGAGATATTTAAAGTTATTGTTAGAGAATAATAGCAAGAGACATTGTAAATTTATAAGCAGGAATTTTGTACTGGAAAACAAGCATTTTCTCTTTTCTTTCAGAACCAAGACCTCGTTTCTAATGCAGTGAATACATTGACAGCTCTTGAGATTCAAATGCTGCTCTTCAGCTTACTCATTGAAGTTGTGGTGGAAGGGGAATACAAAAGCATCTATGCTGAGCAGGAGGGAAACTACATGCTTAAGAAAGTCCAACCCAACTATGCAATTCCATCAATGCAGATCAACACCAGCCTTATGAGTTTTACAGCAAGAGGCCAGAAGGAACACATTCATGCTGATGGCTGGTCAGAGAGAGAAGAAAAGACAAAGCCATGGGAGACCTGGCTGGCTTCCAGGCAATGTGTCCTTAGCAGAGAGCCGAGATGAAACTGGGTCCTGTGCCCTGTGTCTTGTAGCAGTGAAGCCCCAAGGGAAAATTATTCCATCCTGGGGCATTTTTGTTTTGAACTACTGCTGGTGGTTTGTTTGGGGCTATGGGAGCAGATGGTAGCATCCCGGAAGCCCTGACTGGAAAATAAAAACTTCCCCCTTTGCCACTGGTTTAGGATTTGGCAGTGAACTTGGGACTGGTAAATGTTTCAGGAATCCATGCATAAGTTAGAAGTTTATTGAAGAGGACATCATGTTAATGGAATGTTCTGCCATATTTTCTCTGCCTTAATACGTTTTTAGACTGCTGTCTTTTATCGAAGGCAGTTAAGACGATAAAATAGCAAGCAAACAGCTGAGTGGTCTCTGCCACCATCAGGCAGCCAGTAAACCCCACACATGAATGTTAGACAATTATCCCCTCATTTGCATTCATGGTAATGAGAAACATTATGGATAATTTTCCTTTCACTTCTATATGGTAGCTTAAAAAAATTTAAACTACCCATTTTCATGACTCTTACAGACTAATTTCATATTCCTTTAGAGATTACTTTTTTAAAAGCACATAGAAGCTTTGAGAAACAAAGCTTTGTGAAAAAAAATCCAAACTGGCAAGGCTGTGCAGTGTAACATACACTGAATGCTAATACTTTTTAACTTTTATTGACATTTCACATTTCAGTATTGACTGTATTTCCACATATGAATAAATTAAACAGAGATTTTATTAGAAAACTTCCCCTGAGGATTCTGACTACTACAATACATTTTCAATTCCTACCAAAGTAAATCTAATTACAACATGTCCTTTTTGACTTCAGGTTTGAAATGATCAAAACATAATGTCCTTTTATAAAGAAGGACTTACAACAAGAATGCTTATAACTAAATTGCTACTGACAGAAGAAATGTAGTCCCAGAAAACACTGGGAAAATGCAGGATTTCTCTACTTCTCGTAGATACAATATCTTTCCTAAGCATTTCCCTCAGTACAGTGAATGGCCTATAAAAAAGGCAATTGCTGCAGGTAAATCAGATGGAAGATAAAAAAATCAGAGACTTAAAATTCCAAAATAATTGGCAAGTACTTACGAATTATATTTGAATAGACAGATTTTCCCAGTGATAAATCCTGAGTAACGAAACCCCTTGTTCTTTAGACGTGAAAGTTCAGAACATTTATTGCAGTTAACAAAATTACCTAATGACTGGAACCATAGCAAACCCATAATTTTTGAATTTCCTTAAAAAAAAAAGTGAAGAAATTGAATGTAATGTTGCCCCATTAATTCCTATTCCACAAGATGTTCTGACATTTGTTGTTTTGTAGGAAGAGCAATGAAGAGGAAAAGCAGGATGGCCTTTTGGTTTTCATTAGAGTGGAATTAGTAATAAGCTGTGTGAAACTGAGTGCTTGGCACAGCATGAATTCCACTCCATGCCACAAGCAGCTACTGCTGAACAGGCCTTAAATTGTCTCCAAAATATGAAGCAAGAGTCCAGTCTTGCAATCATGGCCGGTATGAAAGTCCTTATGTATCAACAGGACCACTTACACAGATAAAAGAACTGCACAGAGCCCAAAGAAGAAGAGTTAATCTCTTGTTTAGTGGCTTCTCTATAGAAATGTCAAGTACAAAGCTATGTTTGTAGGAGTAATTTTTTTTCATGCAATGTCCTACTCAGATGCTTAAACAATCAGACTTGAGCTATTATAATATTATGTGAGTATTACAGTGGAAAGCTGTAAAGTGCTTATGGTCAAAACGTTAAAAGGACAAAGGCTCCTAAAACATCAGAAAAGCTGGAAGGGTAAAGTTGCTAAACTTAAAAATATTTGTAAAAATCCTTCCACCTGAGAACTACTGCAAAGACTCACTGAATATACATGAAAGAACAATATTGGAAGTAAAAGCTAGTTGATCGAAAAATGGCCCAACTGGTCAAAGATTGCTGTGCTGAAATAGAAAAAGAATTTGATTCAGTTAGAGCATAAAACCCCACAAAACTTGCTTTGCAAAAAAATATAGACTGAGAAAAAGGCAGGCAAATGCTTAATGGGAAAAAATAGCTTACAAACAAAAAACTGCACTAAAAGAAGTGTAGCTGTAGCTCAAACTGTAGCCAGCAAAGATTTTTGTAACTGTTTGCAATTAACATGCAGAGGAAGGAAGGAGATAATTTCACCTACGAATTTTCAGGGTAAGAGAAAAATGACACGAACTTCAAAGCAGTGTGAAGCTACTTGCAGTAGAAACAAATGTGGTATGTTACAAAGAAGCAAATTGCATCACAGGGCTTAGAATCATTACACTGCAAGAGCGATACACACAGCGGAACTAAAGGATTTGTGAGAAGGGAAGAGAAACTCTGACAGCCTGCAGAATGAAAATGAGGAGAATGAAAATGGGAAAGCACTTGTGCTGGATGACATGCACAGTAAGTACAATGATAGGAGCCACCTGCCCGAAAACAGCTGAAATTTGGCCATTACAATTGAATCCAAGGAACGGCACATATTGCACTCTGCACCTCTCTGTGTAACAAACACTGATCGAAGGCTCTGTGCTGAACTGCTGAACAGAGACAGATGAATGCTGGAGGGAGGAGTCCATCTCGGGCAGGACACATCAGACAAACTGACCTTCAGTGCCAAGCCCACTGGCACATTATACAAAACCAAGGCAAACAGCCCACAACAGAAATCAGGACTAGGTCCTATGACCTCATGGCATCAGGGATGTAATGGAAAAGGAGGAAAGGGGCCATGTTGCTGCTGGCACAGTAGCAGCCCCAGAAATGACTGGTGACCTACTGAATGCAGCTTTGAGCTAGGCTTCTGCATTTTTTATAATGAATTTCAATGTCTTGTTAAGCAAGAAGCATCCCTTCACCCCTGTGATACCCATGAAGGCACCTCAGGACAGGGAATAAATTCAGTTACCTCGTTTCACTGGTAACTGGAACTGCTCCAGGTTCTCTCTGCAGCGAGTCCTGATACTGTATGAAAGCTTCTCAAAGCAAATAGCAGAAGGTGACACTAATCCTAAATAAAAGTTAAAAAACCCTGAAAATTACAATTTATGTATGTATGTGTAATGTTAGTGACAGACTTGGCTACTTGGAGGAAATGAATGCAGAGGTAAACCAAACTCAAATTAAGAGGAGTTGATCAGATGGCAAGAAAGTGATGTAGGTTAAGAAAACAAATCACAAAAATAAAAATTTAGTGGTTGCTCCACCTAAAGACAGTTTCTACACTGTGCATTGTAAAAGATATCAAAGGTATTGAAAGAATATTGATAAGTCTTCCTGAATTTCTCCAGAAGTAAAAAAAAAAAAAAAAAAAAAAAAAAAAAAAAAAAAAAAAAAAAAAAAAAAAAAAAAAAAAAAAAAAAAAAAGAAAAAAACGTGGAATACTTTATATACTTCTCTAATAAAATATAATTAAATGTATTAAAATGTATTTTAAATGCACCAACTCTTTTATATTTAATATTTCTATAAGGCATTGTTTTATTTTTTTATCCATTCTAACTACATGACCCATTTCACTGTTTATACAATCATCAACACTCAGAATGTAAAATCTGTCTCTGTAACATTAGGCAAGGGCAGTTACTCTTTCTTTTTTAACTCAAGTGTCTCTTTTTCTGAACAACTTTAACCCTAGATAAATGTATGCAAACTGCTAGTTCAAATTATCATTTTGCTGAAACAGGTAGCAGCCAAGTTGTATTAAACTGAACTTCCAAGTCTTTCTATAATCACATTCAATTTTTAAACTCCACTTTTGTTTGGGAAATATTAAGATAAAACCCCATTTGTCAAATGGCGAGCCAGAAAGCTGTGGAGAGTCAGCTACAAAGAAACTTCTAAA